AAATGTCCCCGGAGTTCTGCTTTAGGTTACATGCAGGTCTGACCTTTCCTGGTAAAAGTCGAGATTGCCGCATTCCGCCGCATTCCATCGCCTCTCAAGTCTTTCTGTTGGTCAGCTGGCTCACCAATCACCTACGAGATCCAATGGAGCACTGGATCACATTCAGCTTGCACAGCAAACGTGGAGACTTGCATAGAACTGCGGCTGCTTCTGTCTCTGGGCGCACTGATGGTTCTGCTGTGCCGCGGTCACGTGACCTCTGCTTATAATAAGAATGCCCATTTCAACCTCAATCAGGAGACAGAGGGCCTGCCTGCCGACTGGCTAGGTCAGGGGTAGGCAACCTTGGCTCTCCAGCTGTGCTGAAACTACAAATCCCATAAGGCATTGCAAGCCACAGGAATGACACCCAGAGGCAGAAGCATGATGGGATTTGTAGTTTTTCAGCACAGCTGGAGAGTCAAGGTCGCCTACCCCTGGGCTAGGGGGTTACTCCCGCCTATCATGCACCCGGCTGATGCCTATGTGGTTTGACTGAGCCTGGATGAGAGCTTGAGAAAACAGTGTGTTCAGTGGTGCTGTGGATTCGCTGATGACACACACACACCAGCAAGACTGTACTGCAGGGAATCATGTAACAAGAGCCTGCAATCCCACCCTTGTAATGCATGCAAGTCCGTTCTTTTGTTATAAACTCGGCCACCATGAGCCATTCAGGTATCACAGAACAATCACTAAAACAAAATGGGACGTAATTTTTTTAAACTGTAGCAGAAAAAACTGGAGCAGCTGTGCATGGCAACCAATCAGCTTCTCTCTTCAGTTTGTTCAGTTTAGATTTGAAAATGAAAGATAGAAGCTGATTGGTTGCCATGCACAGCTGCTCCAGATTCTGTCTGCTACAGTGTTTCATAAAATCCCCCTCAATGTGTACAACGAGTACCATAGCCGGAATGACCAGGAAATACCCTGAACGTTGCATACAAGGCAGTCCTATAGGTTTGTCATCATCGAATCAATGGACAGCTGAGGTCCTGCAGCCAATCAGTGTCTGTCCTGGTCTTGTGACCATGTATCATTAACCCTTGCTGAAATAGTTATACTCCCCGCCCCCATCAGATCAGCTCTATTTGTGGAAGTGGATATTTACTATCCTGCAATATAACAACATATGACGCGGCATTTCCGGTGTAATATTTACAAACATTCCCTTATTTTGTATACATTCCAATCAGATCTTCTCAGTTTTATATCTTATATCTACTCAAAGTGCATTTCAAGCCATGTTTTGTTTAGTCTTGTATGGAATAGATACAATCCCCCTCACTCTTTTTTCTGCTGATGTGCCCTGATTGGCATGATTTCTCATCACTTCCTGTCCCAGAAACACACAGTGGAAATCACTCCACAGAGAGGGCAAATCTCCTCCTAAGTCACTGGAACAAGCTGGATGATTTCCTTTACTTCCTGTCTGACAAACACAACAGGAAGCAAGTGGAAATCTCACCACCGAGAGCGCAAATCTCCGAAGTCACAGGAACAGGCTGGATGATTTCCTTCACTTTTTGACACACACACACAACAGGAAGTGAGTGGAAGTCTCTCCACAGAGAGGGTAAATCTCCTACGTCACTGGAACAAGCTGGGTGATTTTCCTTCAATTCCTGTCCCAGAGACACAACAGGAAGCGAGTGGAAATCTCTCCACGGAGAGGGCAAATCTCTTCTTAAGTCACTAGAACAAGCTGGATGATTTCCCCTCAAATCCTGTCTCACAGATACAACAGGGAACAAAAGGAAATCTCTCCACAGAGAGGGCAAATCCCCTCTTAAATCATAAGCACGAGCTTGATGATTTCCCTTCACTTCCTGTCTCACAGATACAACAGGAAGAGGGCAAATCCCCTCCTAAGTCACTGGAACAAGCTGGATGGTTTCCCCTACTTCCTGTCCCGGTGACAACTAAGATTTTGCCTTTGTTCATCACTTTCAATCCTGATGACAGTCTGCAAGAAAAACAGAGAGAGCAGTTTGGCCCATCAGCATAGGCAGCAATAACATTCTGATGGGCATTGTAACCTTTCCCTGCGCTGTCCAAAACCAAAATGTATGTATGTATGTATGTATGTATGTATGTATGTATGTACGCAATGTATGCAATGTATGTATGCATGTATATATTTATTTTGTGGATACAATGTCATTCTTCTTTAAATCCTACTTGGCCCCATAGAAGAATGAATGAAGACCATTCTCTGTATGAATAGAACCATTCATGATCATTACAGTTGTTTTGGTACGCGGTGTATTAATGCAGAAACTTGCGTCCTGTGTAAATAAAGTTTTATAAATGGGCGAATATCCGAAATCTGCACATCACAGATCTTCATAGAATCCCGCAGTGTGAATGTGACTATGAAAGAACACGGGAGATATTCTACAAGATCAGACATGTTATCTCCGGACCTGCGTCACGGCGTGGAATCTATCACCGAGCAACGCAAGTCCCAGTGGCTGCACCACCGGCTATTATGCTGCATCCACTTGAAGTATCATGAGACCGCCGTGTACCCCGACCCCGAGGATTCCACTAAAAACCCCCCGCGTTCCCCCGACCCCAAGGCTTCCATTAGACACTGCCGTGTACCCCGAGGCTTCCATTAGACACCGCCGTGTACCCCGAGGCTTCCATTAGACACCGCTGTGTACACCAACCTGAGGCTTCCAACAGACATAATACACCACCATGTACCCCGACCCCGAGGCTTCCATTAGACATAAGACACTGCCGTGTACCCGACCCCGATGCTTCCACTAAGTGTACCAGGACCCCGATGCTTCCACTAGCCATAAGACACTGCCGTGTACCAGGACCCCGATGCTTCCACTAGCCATAAGACACTGCCGTGTACCCGGACCCCGATGCTTCCACTAGCCATAAGACACTGCCGTGTACCAGGACCGAGGCTTCCACTAGCCATAAGACACTGAGGCTTCCACTAGCCATAAGACACTGAGGCTTCCAACAGACATCGTTCACCACACTGGTGGCGGATTCTACAATTTCATATGAACAATTTTTGAAATACGAATCCATGTACAGGACACAGTGAGGGTCAAAACAGGAGAAGATTTACAAACCTTTCGCCCCGCCATATGCTCAGCGAATCCCGTACACACGGCATCCCCATCACTAGATGGCGTCGAGGAATGGAGGAAATCCTTTAGACTGCAGCCTCTCTCCCCCTCCACTCCCGCAATGGACTGCCCCTTGGTGTCATCACGTCGATGACGTCACGGGTGCAGGAGCGGAGGAGGAGGAGACAGGCTCCAGGGACGGGTCAAGCAGCCAGGCGTCTCAGAGGATCGGGTGAGTACATCTTCTTTATCTTAAACCCTGGACCAAAACGAGCAGTTAACCCTAGCAGTGCTGGGACAGACCCACTACATGGGTTAAGAATATTTCTGCCTGGAGTTCGTATTACATACTGAGGGGAATTTATCAAGACTGGAGCAGCTGTGCATGGCAACCAATCAGCATCCACCTTTCATTTTCAAACCTTAACTGAGCAAACTGAAGAGAGAAGCCGATTGGTCGCTCCAGATTCTGCTGTTCCAGTTTTGAGAAATCCCCCCAAAATAAGGAATTGTAAGGCGGTCATTACTAACCTCTCCTCTGTATAACAATAGTGGTCTGGCTGTCATGCTGATCCAGCGCCTTCAGTTCTTTTGGAGTCACTGATCTGGAAGAGCCATCGGGAGTTCTGATCTCACAGATGTATATTGTGCGTGCTTGTTCCAGGTCAGTGACTCCGTACTGAAGCCAAAGACAGCCAGACAACTAAGATTCCTACATGGAGATTTACAATGGCACCTTTAAATAGAGGAGTCTGGTCAGGGACCCGCCACCTGGTCAGGGACCCGCCTCCTGGACACTGTCACTGACCATGCAGCTCAGACTTCACTCTCACTGATTGCTGCGCGAATCAACCTATCGAATCCGGTGCCAGCCAGACAACCAGCAATGGCAACCTCTACACTTCTCTCACTACAGGTCTCTAATATGTTATGTCTCTGGGGAGCCGGAAGCTGGACACACATTGCAATCTGATTGGACAATCTTCTTTTTGAGTTTAAAAGGAGATTGTACAATGACATTGAAACATGTATGAGCGGCTGAAGACATGACTTGTTCTGCAGATTGATCCTAGCCATAAACAGCCACATTCTAGAAAACGATGCCCCCCCGATATGAGTCTCAGCTTGTGACATTTGGGGGCGACTCAGCTTCCCATTGCTGCATACGCAGATCTGCTGAAAATCTCGCCACAAGTGCGACCAACCTCCCCAATCTTCTATGATCCCTGGGCAATGACTGCAGGGGGGTCCCGATGCAGAAACAAGTCTGCCAATGACAGCCAGATATCTCCCCGTCTATGGTCAGCCTGAGAATGGTCATATCTCCAAAACCTGGCGATGAAGGGGTGTGAGCTTGCAAGGAACCAATGACGTGTCTTCCCCACCAATCCCACATGACGGTGGACACACAAGTATCAATGTGATCATCCAATCAATAACTCGATGCAACCAAAATGATCAAATTGAATGATAATCGTAAACCGCAGACCCGATCACTCTCGTCTCAAACCTCCGCCATGTCCGATTGTACGGCCAGAGCATTAATCGGTCGACGCAGCGGACTTTTGCAGATCGATTTCGCGAATATCTGCGCACGTGTCAGAGGACGGATCGGAACTCAGATCGATCACATGATCGTTTTTTTCTAATAGATCGTTTCTGATTTTGTACTCGATGAAGAATCGCTAGTTCACGATCGTTTGTACCCAGATTAGTACGCGTGTGTGTCCACCGTTATCCCCCTCCCCCGGGGTCATGCAGCCCAGTATTGGGCGATCGCTTACCCACGCCGGGCAGTGGCCATTCACCGGCCTCCAGTGCTCGGTACACCCGGCACTGACTCATCTGTAGAGGACACTGCATGGGATGAATGTGCCGGGCCGGCCTGGGATTACCGGCTTCTTCCAGACAACTTTATCCCCCCCTCCTCCTCCTCCAATCCGAGCAGGAAGAGGGGAGCTGCATGGTGCTGGACGGGGCTCAGACTGGGCACCGCAGCTGACACTCTACAAGAGGCCCTGTCATTGTGTGTACAGATGCCTGGGGCCCGTCCAAACTTCTCCCAGAGACTTCCCTGTTCACTGACACCACCCACCTTGTGGAGTACGCAGGCCCCTCTCTCCTCTGCACACAGCTCCAGGCCCAGCAGTGTCACAGCAGCCAACCTCCTGCCGGGTCACCCCCCTCCACCCCTCCCCCCGTCCGTCAGTCCCTACGTCGGTCCCTGCCAGCTCACCACAGAGGACAGGAGGAGGTGTGCGCTGCACCCATCATACCTGAGCAGGTTAACTCCTTCCTCGCCGGAAGCTCTCTGTAGTTTAAAAAAAAAGGGACATTTTAGTCTAGTTAGTTTTTACATTATTTTTTTTAATTTGCAGAGATTTTTTATTTTTTTGCAACAATTCGCTCTATTTGTAGCGACTCTCCAACAATTGTCAATTTTTTAAAATGTATTTAATCTTTTTTATTTACAGCAACCCTCTCATTTTTTAATTGTTTTTTATTTTCAGTGGCAATCAAATTTTTTTATTTTGTTTATTTTATTTGCAGCGATTCTTTTTTAATGGGCAACCAACAATTCTCTAATTTTTTTATTTCTTTTTTAATTACAGCAACCCTCTAATTTTTTTATTATTATTATTTTCAGTGGCAATCTAATTGGTTTATTAGCAGTGATTCTCTTTTTTTTTGCAATGATTTTACCTTTTTTTTTTTTTGGTTGGCAAAGATATTTTTACTTGTTTTGTCATTTGCAGCAACCATCAATTTTTTTTGCAGCAGCAGCAATTCTTTATTTTTATTTTTTCAATGATTGTCTTTTTTTCTTTGCAGCACTTTTATTTGTATTTTATTTTTGCAGTGGTTCTCTTTTCTTAATTGGCAATGATCTCTTTAATTTGTTTTTTTTTTTTACAGCAACAGTCTCAGCAAATCTCTTTTTTTTTATTTGCAGAGATTCTATCATTTGTTTTCCCATTCGCAGCAATTTGCTTTTTTATTTGCAGCAGTTTTAATGTATTTTTATTTTCAGGGATTCTCTTTTTTTGCAGCAATTCTATTATATTGTAAAAAAAATTGTTGAATCTTTAGTTTTTATTTGCAGTAAATCGCCTTGATTTTTATTTTCAGTCTTCTTGATATTATGAAGTGAATTCTCGGGAAGGAAATCGCCGTATGTGCGATGGAATGATTCATTTTACAGCGATTTGTATGTCCGTCTCTCAGCGCGATGAGTTGGAGACGCGTTTCAGATTGGCGTCCACCTCGCTTGCAGCAATCGCGCTTCGTTGCCCTCTATATGGGATTGGCCACAAATCTCGCCGACCCAGCGCTGTCACGCCAATTTAACTTGTAGAAGCGACAAATCTCATCCGAATCACAAAATCGCCAGCGGCGCCATCAATTGATCGCTGCTACAAATCTCCACCACGTATAGCTAGTATTATTGATCAGTATCAGTGACCTGTATAGGTGCCCATACACCGCACGATTATCGTTCGAGAATCGCGGGAAATCCCGCGATCGTACAATAATCGCAAAGTGTATGGAAGGCGTGCAACCGTTTCTACTGTACGGTCGCACGTCTTCCGTCGAACCAGCATGCTAGAAAACCCGACGAGGAACGTACGATTCTCGGCGAGTTGGTGGCCTCCTTGTTCGACAACTGCCGAACGAGCCGGTGTGCTCACGCGCACACAGCCCGTTTGCAGTCATCGGAAGCCCGTCCCTTGTTGCAGTCATCGGAAGCCCGCCTCTCAGGGGGGCGGGCTTGCGATGATCGCAAGTACGATCTGCCTGTCCAAAAGGTGCCCACACACCTTATGATAATCGTACGATAATCGCGGGAAATCGCAAGGTGTGTGGGAGCCGTGCGACCTCTGCTACTGTGAGGTCACACGACTTTTATATTACGAACATGTTCGAAAACCCGCCGAGAATCGTACGATGTTCGGCGGGTGTGTAGCATGTTCGTAAGATAAAAGCCGGACGGGCCGATGTGCGCAAGAGGAAGGGGGCTTGCCCCTGAAACGCGTCAATCTTGGCTGACTGCGGTCGGTGGACGGTGATGTGACCGGATACTACCGTGTTACCGGATACTACCGTGTTACATAGTCGGGGGGATACCATGTTGGGTCAACAGACAGTGTGGCCTCTCGTTTGTTGTTAAAGCCTGATGAAAACGTTTGTTTGTGAGTACTTTTATCCCTTGTTTTATTTATTGTAATAAACGATTTTACACACGGAGGTGGCGCTCTGTTCCCTTTTGTTTTCGGTGGGCGCAAGTGCACACTGCCCGTTCGGCATTGCGGTCATCAGAAGCCCGCTCCTCAGCGGGGCGCGGCTTGCGATCATCGCAAGTACGATCTGCCTGTCCAAGATGGGCAGATCGTACGTTTTTTTAATTACCTTACAACCATCGCAAGACAAAAGTCTTGCGAGGGTTATAAAGTGTATGGCCACCTTATCAGTGATTTGTATTATTGATCTGTATCAGTGACCTGTATTATTGATCAGTGACCTGCATCAATGACTAACTAGGGAAGGTGAAATATTAGCAGCCAATGCATTCTAATCAGGAAGAATTGTCTTCAGCTCCCGAGGTCAGCCATGAATTGTTCTAAATCTCATTTACGGCTTGGTAACAATATATAAATATTTGGATGTCCAGAGGCTGACGAGTTTTACCCGATCTCCTGTTCAATAAGGCTCTTTATAGGGCAATAATAGCTGCAGACAGCGGTGACACAAGGGGGGTGTGCGGCCCGCACAGGGTGACACCATCATGTCTGACAGTCATTTTCGAGTCACCCTCTCTGAAAAGCCAGGCACGCGGTCATGGACCCAGTGATAAGGTATGCTGACGGGTCCCCTCCTCTCTTTGCCAGCGTCCATCGCCTAGATAAGCACGCGTGACGTCACACGCATGCGTGAAGATGTACCAGAGTCAGCAGTAGGATTGCGACCTGTCCTGGATTCATTCGGACAGTTCGGGTTTCATGGCAGCCGATACCCGGGCACAAGATGTCAGGCCCCCCCCTGAAAATAGTCTCAACTATGATATTTACATATGAATAAGCCAAAACTCATTCTCTCCAAAAAAATCTCCGCGTTTCGCTAGAGTGTTCGGGTTTTACATGTAGAAAAGGTAGCAACTCCAGTCAGCCAGCAGCTGCTCCGGGTGACACCATGCCTGGGGACGCCCCTGGCAGCAGAAATCTATAGTCGTTTCTACATATCTCCCCCCCCCCCCATGACATTTAGTTTGCTGAACCACAGTGTGCCCTGGACAACGGCCATTTTTTAAAGAAAATCCTTGTTTTCACTGCTCTTCATCCTTTGTTGCATCTCCTGCAGCCTCTTTACAGCCACTTCCTGTCTACATTCACTCCAGTGATGGCATTTCTCAGGGCGAGTTTCCCCAATGGTGACAACAATAGATCTGTAATGTATGCCGAAACTGCCACTTGAATAGTCTTCCTAGGATGGAGGAGTGAAAGGCCTGTCTGGAATACTTCCTGGAGATAAGGCTGTCAAGGGTTGTCCCCAGTGCTGCGCGCATGAAAATTAAAATCCTCTTCCCGTGGTCACATGATTTGTATTGAAAAGGTGGATCAGAGCAAACACGGCGATTAGGAGAGATCATGTGACTGAAGATTGAGGTTTTTTTTATGGGACCAGCACAAGGCCGGGCCTTGGTTGGCCGTGTGGGAAATCCGGCCCTGATGACACCTGCGTCATGCTATTGTGTAATCAGGCCCTATACAAAGCAAAGCGCTTTGCCTCCTCTTTGTGTTAGGTCTGCGTTGGGTAGTATTGGCCATCGTAGCCCAGCAGGTCTGGCATGAGAGGGTTGCACACTTTCATTTGCACGTGTACAATGTTGTCACGGAGCTAGTTTACCATTTGAAGGATGTGGATTTATAGCCAGCCCCAGGAAATGTGCGTATTTGTCACCGAAGGGGTTAACAGAACCGGAGTAAGAAGCCATCTAAACAAAGGTTAGATACTACAACTTTAGATGACGGGGGATCGTCTACAATGTGTACCACCCAAAATCCAGACTTCTATTGTAACTGTATACGTTTCACACACATACAATTACATGAGAAGTGCAGATTTAGGGGAATCGTGTACAGTACACCGTGTACCACTAGGGTTGCCACCTTTTCTTCAAGCGAAACCCAAAAACTCTAGCGACCGATTTTTTTGGGAGAATGAGTCGCGGCTTGTTCATATGTAAATATCACAGTTATCATCATCAAGGATTTATAGAGCGCCAACAGTTTGCGCAGCGCTTTACAGGAAGACATTACAAGCACAATACAAGTCAAGACAAGATGGTAAGGTGAGACTATTTTCAGTGGGGAGGGGGGCGCCAGTAGCCCCTATCTTAATTTTGGTTGCCCCTGTCTGCCTGTCATCTCGTGTCCGGGTTTCTGCTGCCATGAAACCCGAACATATCATTCAAAACCCGGACTGTACAGGTGAATCCCGGACAGGTGGCAACTCTATGTACCACCCCAAATCCTGACTTCTATTGTAACTGTATACGTTTCACACACATACAATTACATGAGAAGTTTATATTGAAGGCGATATAAATACAATGACATTAGAAGGGTGATAGTGATACACCCTGTACCTCCCTAAATCCCGACTTCTAATGTAACTGTATACGTTTCACACACATGGGAAGTTTGGATTGAAGGGGATATAAATACAATTACATTAGAAGTGCAGATTTTAGGAGGATCGAGTACACCGTGTACCACCCAAAATCCCGACTTCTAATGTAACTGTATACATTTCACACACATACAATTACATGAGAAGTTTGGATTGAAGGTGTGCATACAATCACATTGCAACATTGATCAACAAGAATCTACAACTTACTGGAGTCACTGGTGCTGCTTCCTGG